CACACATAATTCCTTCACGAGGGAGCGTGCCCTTTGGCCTACACAATTACTAACGGAGGGCAAAGCAGGGGCAACGCGAGAGAGTACAGCCTCACAGGTGAATATGACAACACACAGGCTTCCTCTGATCGAGATTCAGACCCGCTGCAATGCATCGTGAGTCAAACTGATGACATTTCAGTTGGCACAGCTTTTGATATGCTGGTATGTTTCTACAAATGAGTACTACAAGCATCTACACGACGTTGACATATGCTTTCGTAGGGCGAACATTTTTATGTGGCGCGGTCGATATTCATGGTTTTCATGAGGTTTTCGTGCGAGGGCAAAATGTGTAGGAAGAACTATCTGTCTTCCGTCTATAACATTTTGAAAGCCGAAATGTCCCTAGTACGTGCTCTATAGCCCCTGGTGAACTCCGATATGGCGCTATTCTGCATTTATGGCTGCCAAAACAATCAAAAGAACTGAAGTAAAGTACAATTATAACACATTCACAGCTAGACAGCGAATTTTCCACTGCATGCAATCGTTTATTTGAAACACACAGCTCCATTTGAAAGTGAAATTTAGATTTTAGAATTTTACACGGCCAAGAAAATATGGCGTCAGTACGTGGGTGTAATTTGGAATTTTTTCTGAATCATATATTTGGAGCTACAGTACAATCCCCACAGCGAATGCACATAATTTTGTCCTGGGCTTACAGGCCCCCACTGTCCTTTACTTCAACCCAGTATCCAGTGATTTGTGATGCACTGAAGTCTTCGGTCCCTAGTAGGACTTCTTACAATCTTCCCCATCTATCAAAAAGAACTACAACAAACATTCAAAATGGTTAACCCTCAAATTCACGACTAGACTACGCTGGCCAAACACTGGACTTAAATAGGAAAAATAACCAAATACGAGTACAAATGTGTATCTTTGTGATGTTGCCTTTTAAGAGATGAGTGCCGTTTAGGTTGATCGATGTAGGCTTATTTTGCAAAAGAAAGAGAAGACGACACAAATGATTCAGAACCAGGCTTCTTTACCATAAGATTATTGTATGCTGTCTGCTATATTTTGTACGGTAAAAGAGCTGCCTCTATAGCAATGTAATTCCAATCAAGTAACTTTTCTTTGAAGTAAAAAACCCCTGCATTATATATATAGTCTATGAAATATTAAAATAAAGCAAACATTAAGTCAAAGTATCATGATGAAAAGTAGGAAAAGTTTCTACTTGTAGATAATAATAAATGTCTTGTACAGGACACACAAGACAATTGTTTATGGTTATAGTTTAAAATATATTGACATTCAGAAACATGAATATAAAATAGAAACATGTGCAGACCGATACATTTTGTACTACCACTGTTAAATCAAGTATACAGTTAATCTACCATTTTGAATGATCTACATTTTCATAGTGGAAAATATGGAATTTCTTGTATAGGAGACTGAATAGAAAATCATGAGAACAGCACAAGCTTTCTATTCATGTTCTACCACATTTTCCCACCATTTAAATCAAGTTTGTTCCTACATGCAACCCCTCTATCATATCATGACAAATCACATACTATCAGTGCCGGCGTTACATACTGTATGATTAAGTATGGAACCTGTTGAGAAATGTCCTTCTTTCAAAGGGTGGAAATAGCTTTTCCCAGTATGTAGTCGAGTCCGTGCCGTTGACAGAGAAAATGTCAGCCACGTTGTGGAAAATCCAGTCTAATTCGGGTCAGTGCTACCAAATGGGCATGTGGTCCCGTGTGGCTTTCCAGTGCAACAGTTTTTTTCCCCAAATTGAAAGCCACAGCGGGCTTCATCTTGTACGGTTGATCAAAATGGCAAGAGTTTCTATTTTTGATAGAAAGTTACAAGTAGAGAACTTGAATACAGAATACTTCTCTGAATGGAAAAATATGGTCATTTCTTGTGTCCAGAAACTAATACAAATATATTGATTTTGACAAAGAATATATTGTTGATACAAAACGATTCATACTTGAACGAACGTTTAAAATCACTCAATTTTAAATATACATTAATCTAGTTTAACATGATGTCTTTGCATCTCGAACAGCACAACCTGTAATATTCTCGTATTCTTTATAAAACTTGTACCATTGTCAGCTATATTATGTATATTTTCTTTCTTTCTGGTGAGGTTAACATTAGCACTCGCTAGAGTTGCTACCATGCGGTCCTGTACCTTTTTGTTGAGTAATAAAGTTTTAAAAAGTGGTCACTTTATTCAAAACATTTATGGGTACATTTACTACACAAAACATTTGAAACATCTCGATTGATACATTTATTTATTAAGTACGCCTGTCTTTAAAATCGAAAAGATTCAACCTCGTTAACTGCTATATACGATCGCCAGATACCCATAGACCTTTTTTATTAGAACTAACTACATTTCAAAGTAATTCGATTCCAATCAGTCATACATACGTGCAGAAGTGATGTGATTCAGTTCTAATCAAAGATAATGCAGTTGTTTCTGGTGCTGATTGCTTGGCGGCATCCTTGTGTGTAAATCTAAGAACACAGCCTCAATATTTCAGAGCAATTAGAGTCAGATAATCTCACTAATCCAACGTTTTGAAGTCGGTGGAACTCCCACGAGGACTGTACATACGCTAGGACATCTTGTGTTAATCTTGTCTCTTTGACAAGAGTGATATCATTGGAATTGTAGAATAAATTCTAACTCTATTACGGAGGTGATGTATTATGCTTCGTTAGTGAAAACTGCTAAGAAATGATATTGAAATTAAATTTTCAAACGTGTATCTGTTTTTGTTATTTCCAAACGAAAACAGACATAGCTACAAAAATACAGAAACTTATCCTGTTTTGTGGTAAAGAAAATAACAAAGGATAGAAAACAAGTTGAGGGAGGAGAATTTCACTTGAATAAGCATATGTCTTGCTGTACAAAACTTGTCGATTTAAAGAAGTATAGTTACTTTTGTAACATTTAAATCACTTCATTGAGACACAAACATAAGTACACGTATTGTACATTACTAACACACAAAATTCACTTTTGCACCCACAGAATCTTTCTTCATTCGTGCCCTTACCTTCAATTTGTTTATTCGTATCGGTCTCTTGGTTTGTAACTAACACATATGCAGCTGCTCATAATCCAATTGCTATTGGGCTAAGCAGTATGAAAAAAGAAAGAAAAAGAAAGAAATTAAGAACTAGATACAAATACGATGTACAGTACATTTCCTTTATTCATATAAAAATACATCATTAAGTATCTATTATTTGACGGTTAACTGATTCAAATTAGTTTACCGAGCTTACAAAACTACACTAAAAGAAGAACAGTGAAAGAATACTTTCCACAGTGGAATACGTTTGAATTCCCCCTCCAACAGATATCGAAATTTAACGAGTGGTCTCCATTACATTTTACGTGTGATTGTCCATAAAAACCTTAAACAGATCGTCTTGTTGTGGACTCCCATGTTACGTGTATAAAGTCGAACAGAATATGGTAGGTGAGTGCCGGTTAAGAGCTCATTTTGTTATCATTGTGTAAAAACTTGTCACTAGAGAGACACGTTGAAAACAACACTCCCCCCTAACTTCAAGCACTGCTAATTTCGACACTTCTAATACATGTAACAACGCTTGCGAACAAAGCTAACACTAGCTAAGAAAGAAAAAGGGCGACTGTAGAAGCTCTGCGTAATATTCGTTAGGAGCTATCATAAACTTATGGCTTGTTGTAATAGCTGTATGTTGTTGGCAAAATATCTACTAGTAAGATGTGTAAGAAACATTTGCAAAGATTCTAGGAAAAATATTTTATAAGTACTTTTCTTAACAAGATGTTTATACGCATTGAAATGCTGATCTAAATGTATGCTATTCTGTATATATTCGTTTTTATTTACAGCAAGGACTTACATACTATTTTGCTGCCTGGGGTCAACAGAATATCTAATTTTCTTGTGAGAAAATATTTGAAACGTTTTGTGGTCGTTGAAGTTTTTTACGTACTCCATTCTTGAATACGCAGCTGAGAAGTCATTTACTGCTAGACTAACCATGTAATTTTCTTACAAACTATACATGCAGTAACTTTCATGTCCTCATTCCACGGGCGTTTTTCACTCGTCACCTATGACCTTACCATAGATCCCTGTTTTCAAAAAAACGTTTTCCTCTTAGAAACCTCAATTCATAATCGGCAGATTTATAGTCTTTTAATGAAAATAATAACCGTAACGATACTGTTCATTTTCTAATTTTTGTCATTGTGTAGTTTACCTCTTTTGTTTGGGACAATTTTGTTTATTTTCACTTTAGGATTTCGAAGTGCGTCTTAAAAATTGAATGGAGGCGACACTTTTACGCAGGGGTCGAGAAGGCTAAACACGGGTGTAATGTCGTAGGATCTTTCATCGCTAATATCACGGCTTGACATGCTTGTCAAAACCTCGCAAAAAGGGTTGTATTTCATGAATTGGTAGTAAAGCCTGATATGTGGGCATGCAGGGCTTTACAACTAAAAGCCGCTAAGTGCACATCGGACATGTTAGCTAAAAAGAGTAGGCATGATTTGAGGTTTAGCCATAGCGGGGAGAAAATCTACTCGGAGTAAAAGTAAATGTACTTCTAAGTCCATTTCTGTGCAATTTCACTTGACGATATACTATACAGGCCATTTCGCTAACGACGCTACAAAATAACCGCGCATATAATACCTATAACTGCACGTTAGCTTGGGTGGAAACGTATCTCCTAGACGCCTGTTTTGAGCTGAGCTAATGCTTTATAGTTGTTAGGTGGTTACAAATGGGTGTAGAGTTTAGTCCGACTACTCTACAGTACAGATCCAGAGGCTATGAAAGTTTCTCACAACTCGTGAAAAGTAAACGGGTGAGCGCGGGTCATTATTTTGTGGGTTTGCCAATGAGTGTCAACCCCCGTGTTGACTGATATACGGTTTGTTTATTACAGACGCCGCTCTCCCATTGGCTCTTGAGCGATCACGTGGTGAATTTAGGACTCTCTCAAGAGGCATTGATTTCTGGGGGTGAACCTGCGCCGGTATAGTTTGTGACTATCACGCCACGGATATCAAAACATCGCCGTCAAACGGCGTCTGACAAGGGCTGTATATCTTCCAGCAGCCTCCATAAACACGGAATGGCTTATCCGGCCAGTGAGACATTCCAGGCCAATTTCTCCCTTTCCGCAGGCAAAAATGACTTCGCTCTGGGAGTGAGTCCACCGGCCGGTATGGACGGATACTGGCTGCAACCTTTCCACGATCTCAAACCGCGCGGGGAGGCAGGGGGGTGGCACCTGCCCGGACTGTGTATGCCAAAAGGCGAAGCCCACGCGGACGGTCTGCGGTTGGGCCCCCTGGGGTACCCCTGTCGGGAGGGCAAGGACATGAACTTGACTGACACCCGTAGAATCCTGCCCTCCACCTTCCACCCGTTTTACGATGTCAGTGCAGGTGCTCATCACCGGGACCAGATCGCCAGAGCGCAGCTACACAACACCGCTGCCGCCGCTTACGACTCCTCCAAGTGTTGCCAACCACAGATGAACAACGTCTGCACCTACACCTCTGCTTCCACCGCCGAACGGAGCGAACAGGTGAGCCAAGCCTGGGACGGACAGGGATGCCAGCCGGCCGAAGGACCACCGACGCCCGCCCAGGGCAACAACTCGTCCGGTGACGGTAAGACAGACTCCGTACCATCTTGAACACTTCTAGACTGCTTTCTACATACAGGTGGTAGAACCACATCCATTGTATTCATCTACAAAAAAACAACAAGAAAAAAAATAGAAAAAAGTTTTTTGGACATTTTACAAGAATTTCTACCGGCTGGGACAAAACGTGTATACTTTTAAAAGAGAAGACTCAAGTTCTGGTAGTTGTTTCCCAATTTCGCTATATAAAAAGAGCAGAGTAGAGTAGAAAGGCTAGTTACTAGCACGGCTTACGAATATCGGTTTATATTCCATTGCAATTGTTTCAAGTATCACTATTTAAATCAAAGTATAACGCTGAACTTTGAAACACTTAAAACAGTGAGATTTTCCCAAGTAATATACTTCCTTCATTAACTTATTAACATAAGATATAGGATTGATTAGAAATGAGCATATCGTACTGTGTTCAGATATATACTACGTTTAATACGTTCCATATGATCGTAAAATGATGAAAAACGTCGACGATTTCCTGTATCTATAAAGCGCACACGTTATCTTGTTTATAGAAACTTCATAACCACTTGTTACCCTAACCATAACGATTACACTAAAGCTGCTGGTCATGTGGTGAGAATATTCGCGGTTTGGGGTCACGAATTTACGGGATACGGGAGGTTAAAACTTTACGCGAGCCATTCTTACTGTCAGAAAAAGTTTATACGTTGGAACCGCACGCGCAGCGAGGTCCCTGGCTTTTGGTAGAGAACTGCCCCTCAACGACTCGTGGCAATAGTGCAGGCTGGCCTCGTGCAACAGAGAGCTTGTAAAACGAGCATGTGTTGCATGTATGGGAGCACGGCACATAACATAAGTGAACACATATTCTTCACCATCTCAACTAGAAAAACATTCTTAAAACGTATCATGCGATTTGATACGGTGTGTATCAAATAGAGAGGGCAGTCTAGAAATTTGAACCGAATTTTCCACGCATTGATACTGAGGTACCATGCCCTGTCATAGCAACTCAAATTGAGACCTCAACCAGCCCAATTGATGTTTCCCGAAGAAGAAAAAAACGACGAATCTATCGTATCGTTTCTTTTCATCTCCGTTTACAGGAAATAAACCCAATTAGTAAAGAACGAAACGCTTCTAATGGGCGAACAATCATTGTTGTAGAGTTAGTAAATCAGATTTTGGGTTCACTTGCGGCCTGGCGACGAGCCAAAAATAAGAGTGTTAGGCAGAATCGGCTTAACTATACCTCCTGTATCTACAGCCAGCTAGCCAGATTCAGTGTAACGCACATTTCAGATTTCTGAAGTACAAGAAAAAAAGATAAGATTCCCATATCATACCATTCTTTAATGTATTATACTTATATCATATAAAGAATGACTACATTATACTACAAATGACTTAGTTTGTTGAATGAGTAGAATTGTGTTATCTTTGGAATACATGAAACTGGAACATGAGAAGATGATGTTGACAACTCTCGTATTGGATTTGAAGACTTCAGAAGATTTTATTGATACATGAATGTCGATCACTTCTTTTTGTGCACAAAGTTGCGGGAGTGCAGCAAAGTTTGTCAAAACGCTCATATCACACATTGTACCAACAGCGTCTACTTGGGGTGTTGCTGAAAAGCGTTTGAAAAAAGCAATCCAAAGACAAGGATTTAAGCTTCCTATGTAAGGCTTAGATCAAAGTCCAACATCGCCAATAAATAGTATCAACAATATATTCATCCAGTTCAATACACAATGTAGCTTCTCTAAACAAAAATTCTTTGCTAGCTTTTTAGAAATTGTCATAGTCGTCACTTTGGCCAAATCCTTTCGTACAGACGTTTAATTCATAGCCTCTAGTGATGAATAGCAATTTTATGGGACACAAAAATAAAATACGATGTTGAGGGTATTCCTAGACATGTAATTAACCAATAACTCTGTCGTTTTTTGTTGTTTATGTAGTGACGTCCAACTGGATGAGTGCAAAGAGCACACGGAAGAAGCGTTGCCCCTACACCAAGTACCAAACCCTGGAGCTAGAGAAGGAGTTTCTCTTCAACATGTTCGTGACAAGAGAACGGAGACAGGAGATTGCCAGACAACTCAACCTCACTGATAGGCAGGTATGTATGAAATATAATAACCATAACAACTAAAAAACAAGTTACGATATTGCAACTTGCGCTGACTCCAAAACCGATACATGCCTTACTGTTACGTTTTTGAAGGTTAGACATCCAGGTAATGAGATACACTATGAAAATTGTTACTCAAGCAACTGAATAGATTGTGAAAACTGTCAGACGTTTCAAGAAGCATCCAGTAGTTTACAGTTTACAAAATCTGTCCAGTTGTTTGAGTAACAACCTCCTCGTGTACATATTACTGTTAGTATATAATACCAATAGCATGACTGTCAAAGTTAGAAATGAAGAAGATGTTTTGTATTGGTATGGTCAAAACTTATTTCCCAGATTATGCTAGAAAAACCACAAACACATTTTAATCTCATTGTAGCTTTATGAAATAAAAACTATTGTTTTGTTATAACCGTGTGCTTATGCCAATTGCTTCACTTCAAGCCACACCACTACATTGAGATATTCGACAAAAATGTAAGATTAGTTTAAAGACAAATCTGCCGCTCTTGCGGAGTTACAGAATGAAGGAGTTAACATGTTTACCAAGCCCAAGACCCTAACTATGCCTTCCATATAGAAGCGTCATGCAAAAACGAACCATATAGTTACTACTGTGCGTCGGTGAAGGTTGGACATCCAGGTACTAAGCTACGCCAAAAAAACGGTTACTCAAGCAAATGGATATGGTTTTGGAAACGGTCAGACGTTTCGAATTCTGGTAGCATCTTCTACCTTCCGTCAGTGACACTGGAGAATTCTTAGAAAAGCAAGTTGTAAGCACGCACGATTGCAAATAAGTGTATATTTTTGGATAAGGACACAAAAGTTAGCCAAAGTCCAGACAAGGATGGTGCTAATTTGTCAAATAAATCCTGACGAAAGGTGACGAAATGCTACCTGAAACGTCTGGCCGTTTCCAAGATCATATCCAATTGCATGAGTAACTGTTTTTGGCCTATAAGTTACCGAGGAACTATTCTGTTATATGATGACCAGAGATCAACCAATGACAATGCTTGTTCCTCGACGATCATGCTCTACGATGCTTGTACCGGTATCCTTGCCATGACGTCCTAAATTTCCTTAAAAAAAATAGAAGGTTATGCTGGTACAAATTGCCCTACAAAGGATGGCTATAGTACTCACTGATAGCGAACTCATCAGTGTAAGCTTAAATGCATCATACAACCTTGTTTGTGTATTTACAACCCCGTAGATAAAGAATCTGGCATTGAGAGTGTCTGAAAAGTAAGCCAAACACTGTACACGGACCAAGGCCATAGAGATAAGGTCTTCTCTCGTCTTAAAACCATCGCAAATCTTAAGATAAACCAGGAGAACTTCCTTGAACTGCCGGAAGACTCCTGATTGCATTTAGGCGACATTCTCAAGAACATTTGTACGTGCAGTTTTGTAGGATCCCTTAGTTTTATGAAAAGGAGGGAGTCGTTCTTTCATTTTTAGTATCCCATGAAGACAAACAGAGAAAAAAACACGAAATTACAGAGAACTTCGCCAGAATTGATGTAAACAAGCATCAATATTGTTAGGAACATGTTACACCATGGTGGTCAATACCTCTCCAATTTTTGCTTACTGTGTATTACAATTTTGCTTAGTTGTTGGTCCATAAATGTATATCAAAAGTACCGATTTCTGTAAAGGATATTATAGTAACGTAGTGGGATCTACAAAAAAAACATGTTGGAGGTCTACTATGACCGCCAGACAACCCCTGTTTGGTGATACCCATACTATTCACTATTCCTAAACACACTGTGATGTACCGTACTTATGTAGCAGTAAATATGGCCGTTAAGCTCTCTAGAACTGCTCTTTAAGCCACCCTGCTACATTTTAGGGCCTCCAAAACCTTTGGCTTGCTCGTAGAATGCGCAGTTAACTACTAACGCTACGGCGTGCAAGCAGTTGGCACAATTTGTACACACATGATAACATCAAAACGACTCTAGCAAAGATACCGTTCGCCATTTTTCACTCTTACCAAGAGTTCGGTGGTGTATTAATGTCAGTAGTAAGGGAAACGAACATGCATTCTGAACCACAAACGAAAGACATATCTAGAAAGAAATGTTAGAGCAAAGTTAGTTTCTAAATTGATGCTGTTTGTGTAGGTACAAGACTTAATCGCACAATCAGAATAAATTTTTGGATCACTGACTATGCCAAATTCATATTACATGCCAGGAAAGAAACTAAATTTTGTACTTGTGTTTATAATTTTGCTTGTCTTCCTTTATTTAATACGATAAGATTTCTGAGTTACATAAAAAGATTGACTCCCATACGTACATACATGGCGATTTCCAGTGTATCAGCTTTGTAGGTATCAATAGATACAATCTCGAATATTATTGCAACAGAGCTTCTATGCAGAACATGAGACAATTCATTATCCACTGCCTTCAAAGAAGTCAAATAGACATAATAGTACCAACCATAGTAGTATATAAGTTTATCAGATAGTAGTTGTATCTTTTGCTTACTTTACTTTCTTTGACACTATACCAGCAATTAGCATTCGGGTATCATTTTAATTCTTTCTTTATTCGTGACACCTAAAAGCAAACCCTACAGCATGGATAAGACTCCCTGAACTGCAAAGAGTTTGCGTACAAAAATTACAAATTACAACAGACAAGGCAGGCAATACATTCATCCCTCATATACATTATAATACATTATTTTGTACCAAGCAAACTTTCTGCTGACTTTATACAGATGAGGTTTAGGAAAGATAAACATGACTGGTGATATGACCCGTCTTTGTTGTACAGGGTTATAGTGGTATAGGGTATAGTGTTATTTTGCAAATAACTACATTTATTCTCCGACAATTCCTTCTTTTTTTTATTTACTTCATTATTCACCACAAAACAAGGCTCATGGGAGCCACTCAAAATGTTTTGGGTTACTGTACAGCCGGTGAGGACAGATGTGTGTTGACCTTAGACTACGTTCTTCGTTTCGATGTTCGCAGGTGAAGATTTGGTTCCAAAACCGCCGCATGAAAATGAAGAGAATGAAGCAGCGTGCCATGCAACAGCTTATGGAGGAGAAACAGCAACAACAACAACAACAGCATCCATCGCAGCAGCCCACCCAACACTTACAACAGGTCCAGCAGATCCCTCAACCATGATCGCGCGCATATCAACGCTTCTTTTGCTACGTCCAACCGTCTCTTATCGTCAACAAAACGTGCTGCTTGATTTTGTACATTGTATACCACCGTCCATATCATGATGCGTTGAAACTAGGAGAACGTACTACGATTAAAGTAAAAATGGGTTTAAAAACACAGGAATTGTAAGCCCGTGAAATATGGGAAAGGCTGTATGTTAAATCCTTGGAAAATGTGATATGGAAATAGAAAAATGAAGAAATTGACGTCTTCCTGTGAAATTTTTCATTCCGTGAATGTTTTAGCATGAAATGTGTAGTGAAGACGGGATAGGGTATTTTGATTGCAAGGTGCCATGTGCTGATATGTGTTTACTGTATGTATACCTTGCTTTCCTGCAACAAAACAAAAAATCTATGTTTATAGTAAGATAACTGCCATGTGTAAATACGTTGATAGCATATATATTCCGTGTCCACATAATTGTACTTATTTCATTTATATGTATTTCATGAGAACAAGATAGTCTACAAGCATATTGTCTAAACACAATGGGAATACTTACTTTTAACCAGAATCTACATGTATTTTATGTACTTATGTCCTTTTTTCATGCAATGCGATCATATCTATATACATATATATATTCTACGGATGCATTTTAACGTTGTCGCTGTATATCACATTGAATTGATATAAAAGTATAAAATCCATTTTAAAAATATACAAAAAAAAAACACGAAAACACACCACCAGTTATACTACTTTGCGGAAATGAAAAGCAGACGAGAATGCAGTTTTGTTATTTCAAAGGTACAAAGCAGAAGTGTGTGCGCTTTTAGTGGTGTTAATACTAAGCGTTGTTCTGTCCACTATACAGTCTATGTAGGGACGAAACTGTTGTGTCTCAGGGTGTACATATCCCAAAATGGGAAAATGCCAAAAATATCCTCTTCATTAAAATGTTAGCTACTTTTGGTATAGGTTATTAATGTTTATATGTGTCATCGTGATCATATACGGAAATAAGGGTATTTCAGATTCTTCTTTTGCTTCTATCTGTAGTGAAATATAAAGCATAGGTATCAAGTAAATTTTGTATCGTAACTTTTAGAGTAAAATGTACATGCTGTCTTACAATCATAAAGCTACTACTACCTATAGGAATAAAGTTTTCTGTGCACAGAGTATACACGTATAAAATTGCACGAGTCTATTATATCTGTATCAAAATTAGAATCTAGTGTGTTAATGTATTATTTTCCTTTTGCACTTCTCTTGGCTGCTTCTGTATATACTATATACGTTTAATCCATACTTTATCTTATTCAACTTTTGAACTGTGCGGAGAAATAGTCATTTCTCAACTGGTACTACAATGCTAACTTTACATGGATGATACTACAGTATCCAACAAGAAATGTGGAGACTTCTTGTTTTTTTTCTTCGTTTTTCGTTCTGAATAAAATGTGTGCCAAAAGCTGTACCTGTCTGTTGGTCGGTTTTTGCCTGAAAGAGTCAGTTTTAAGAACGGCAAAAAATCACCAGTTAATCTACCACATACAATGATTCCACTGAAGTAAAATGCACTTCATTTCCCAAAGAATCTACAGTTAAATATGTAGTTTAACTGATCCCAAAGAATCTACAGAAGTAAAATGAAGTTCCTCTTCCAAAGAATCTACAGTGAAATCTGTAGTTAAACTGATCTCAAAGAATCTACAGAGAAGTAAAATGTAGTTCCTTTCCCAAAGACCCTTCAGTGAAATCTGTAGTATAATTGATCCCAAAGAATCTACAGAAGTAAAATGCAGATTCTTTCCCAAAGAATCTACAGTGAAATATGAAGTATACAAAAAATTGAACTTATACATACAGTCAGCGTTCGAAATCCTTTTTTTCAATGTTTTGCAATAGCGCAGAATGTCACAATGTTGTTCTGCAATTTGGAAATACTTTCTGAAAATCTACACTTTTAAGCTCTGACTCAAACCCATACAAAATTGAATGTTGGCAAACATTTTAAATGCCATTTGAAAAATACATTCATAACTAGTATATCATACAGTTAGTAGTAAGCACACAAGCTGAACAATACTAAATACAGACACAGTTGCATCCCTATCCTTATTTTTTCAGTCGGCAGAATTGCAGATTGCTTGATTTTTCTTCTGCAACATTGAATCGTTCTCTGCAAAATGCAGACTGCAGATGGGTATTTCTAGCACTGGTGCTATATAGTAGCATCGCATATGTGTATAATTCAATTGAAAGCACGGTATGTTCCAATTCTCAAAATGAAATACATTGTATAATTTGCCCTCAAATGAAAGGGCATCAAAAAAGATAAATCCTACTAAAACTCAGTTCTAGACAGATAGCTCGGTCGTAAGCCTTCCTCTATTATTCCAGTACTAGTAAGTGCAATTCAGGAAGAGAAAGTCAACTCTAAAGTATAGTTTCCTGTCACTTTAGACATGCCACCACTACAATTTCCCTATCTTCCACCGAAAATTGGCAAAGCAACAATAATTCTTATGCGTTGTATCCACTAGAATAGTCATACTAGTCATAGATTGGTTGAAAACTAAATCTTTCGAAAATTCGTGGACGCCAGAATGTCGCGAAATCTATGCAACATACTCCGAGGTGCAGTTAGTTCATATGATATTATAGTCTTCATGTTCTGTTTATACACGAAATCATGTGAGCTGATCTAGTCCTTATTCTAGCAATGTTTCAGTCATTACTTAGTTTGATATTCAGTCTGACTTTTTATACAAATTTACGACTGAATTTGTTAGCAAAGGATATCATATAAACGGGTAAACCCAAAAACAAACTCAGAAGGATTTCTACAAACCGGCACAGGGTTGGAGCTATATATACCGGGAACATTTTTTTGTTATTTGTATCCGTTATTTCAATCGACCGGGTATATATATGAGCATAAAGATGCTACGGTTTGATGTATATTCAGCATAAAAAGACTACAAAGCAATACTGGTAAACCATTCAATCTGCATTTAGAATATGTAAATCTCGCTAAATCCGTTTCGTGCAATGTAAAAGTAGAATATGCCGGCAGCCATGCTTTCTCTGCTACACAGTTCAAAATGTCAACACGATATACCCAGAAAGGCAACGAAAAATCAAAGCAACATATGAACTATTGGGTACACATTAGTTCAATCTTGTGTACGTTTAATATCATGTCTTTTTCATAAATAGATTTTATACTAGAGGCACCACTTTTACTAGAATATTGAATTTACCTTCAACATGTGTGGTGTTTCGTTGTAGATTACGCTGTGAGAATAACCCATGACTTCTTCAACAGAGAATTTACAAGAACGCAACGAAAAAAACACGATAGTATACAACACTTGTAAACATTCTTAGTCCAAATATACTGGGTTCAATACATCTTTTGTTTCCATAAGGAAAAATGACGTTAGCATGAATGCATTTGTTTTTTGCTCTTTGCATTGCCTCGAATGACGGGTCCAAATGACATTTCTGCCCAGGTGCTACTTGTGTGTGTTAGCTTTTCCTATGAAAGTTCACGCATAACGAATTAACAAGGGGTCTTCTGATGTGATTGACACATTCCTCTAGTTTAGTGTCAATTTCACAGAAGTGGAATCTACAGTTATGAGGTGCAAACCATACCACTATACCTATATTTACTGCATTCTGTGACTAAGGCTACGTCCACCAACAGAGAGGGTTGTTTCGACCTCTCTTCTTGTATCAACTCTTCACAACCTACAAAAATATCGCTGAAAACCCAACGTGAATATATTTTATCTGAAACGATTTCATGTTAAATTCTTTTTCAACAAACCACTGCCTATGAAAACGGCAGTAGTAAGCTAATAGGAAAGAGAGACACTGGCGTTGTTCATAGCTCTATTTGGAGGACAGTGCCCCACGAAACAAGATAGTCTTATGAGAAGATCACAGAAAACAACTGGAGTTTAAAGTTCAGAAAGATCGGCACCTAACGGGTAAAGTAACGTTTCAAATTCAAAACATGTGTTTTGTAAGATTCTAAACAAAATGAGGGTTCCAACCTGCAATCTATTTTCCGTATTCTTAGTACGTTTGTTTGCCAAGGGTCGCAGAATTTCCTTTGGGCGTGAGACGTATGTTTTTCTCAAGTTACGTTCGGCCGTGTATTCTAAGACAAAATCGTGTTGTACGCCGTTCACTGTTGCAAAGGGTGTTACAAAATTAGGCCCGCTTGTATGCCCTGTATTTTGTGCAGTCGTGATGTAATTACAAACACTTTAGACATTTGCGGGTGGCAAAATATGGAATGGAAGCATCTATCTAGATTAGTAGAAATCGTGTAGCTAACACATACAATCTATGTGTAGAGTCACTACAACATTGCGATGGCGGCCGCTAATGTCATGTTGGTTATTAAGCAGGGTCTTGGCGTGAAAATATAGATAGTGATGGGCAATGAGTTAAGGAAACCATAAAAGAGTACATAGCTGTAGGCTTGCGGGTTTCGCTGTTAACTTAATAACGACATTTAGAACCATTGTAAGCCTATTCGCAACTCGTGATGTTCATCATACAAGTTTATATATGCAAACTGTTATATTTTCTACAACTAAAACGAAACGAAGTCAGTTTTAATAAATCCATTGCAATGTTTAAAAAACAGTTTTAGCTTCTCCCATACAACGTTTTCTGGTAGTAGGATACGGTTTGCAAAAATAGTTTGTTCAACATTATTCTACCATAAACACCTCTGGTTTTTGACACCTTTAATATAATAAGTGCTTGAATGTTTTGTTGTTCCAGAACTAACGAATTTACCCCTTGTGGAATGTTAGTTGCCGTAAATATCTCTATCAACTTCATCCAAACCTTTTCCTCTGCACACAGCTGCTTTGAATCATCTTTATGATTAAGATTTATCAACTTGGAAATAATCGGAAGAATTCCAGTCAAGTTCCTGGCGTGGGAAGTTGCAGGAAGCTTCAATAAGTGGCACCTGTTGGAGTCGCCGGATTGTTTTTGGAAGTTATTGAGACTGGATAGTCTTTTGGCGTCGGTTGAAGAACTCTATGTGACTCATGCAGCCAATGACTTTATATGGTATATACACAAACATATGTTGATGAAATAAAGATTCAACTTTCTTTGCCAACACTAAAATGAAATAGAACTTACTCCAAATGTTCGGCTGACTCCTTCGACCTTGTTCACGGTATTTGGGGTATTCATGTTAGTGTTGGCAGACAAAGTTGAGTCTTTAGTTCATAATGACTTGTACCAACACAGATGAACTTTCATGCTAAGCTAAGATATATTGATGGAAGTTTGACATACAAGTAATGAGATACACAAGGAATTGTTACTCTCAAGCAAGTGGATGTATAGTTTTGGATCAACTACAGATTCCGTTAGTCACTGACGACAAGTAGTGGATTCTACTTAAAACATCTGACAGTTTTCAAGATCTACCCTTATGTATACATAAACACACATTGAGCAAGAAATCCATCATATTCCAAGTACAAAATAAATGAAAATGGAACAGATATAGATGACGATACGAGTATAAACAATTTTGTTATCTTGATATCATCTATTTTAGGAACCTGTAAAAAATTCCACGGTTAGTTTTGACGCGATAAAAGTTGTAAGTCAATTGTGACATTTAGTCGCAAGTTTATTCGAGTCAAGAAATGGACAAGAGGTCACTTTGGGTCACAGACAGTATATCAGGCTGAGGTCAAGGGTCACAAATAAGATACCACATTTGTAGTTTAACAGCACACTGTGGCAGCTTGTTAAACAACCCCTCATTGGATGAGAGGAAAAATCGATCAAATGACATGTGTTACCCTGAATATAGATGTTGACATTGACCGTGGCCAAAACCTAGCAAATGTGCACGTTATTATACAAAAATATCACACACGACATACGAGGGTAACACTACTGCCCTTGCAAAATGTGAGACAAATGTTGAAAATAGATGACATTATATTCGCTGAAAACTTCCACCCAGCACGATTTTACGATGAGTAGATATGTAACGATAGGACAGTAAATCAACTTTAGTAGACAGAAAGGGGTGGTCGACACGAGATAACTTTAAAGGTAGACGTGAGGTCCATGGATGTAGGGACGAAGAGGAGTCAAAAAAAGGTGAGATCTCATGTTCAAAAATGGCAAAACTCCTGCCTTTTCCCCCCTGACAGATCCTTACAATCACTGAACTTGATAAGTAGCAGCCTCCTCCGGGCAAAAGTATAAAATTTCCTGATAAATCTATCTTAATGAGATGCTAGTGTGTCTAGATGTAGCGATGGGGACCGATGCTAGGGTTCAATCGTTCAA